GATATGGAACATAAGGAGGATAAAAAATTCAATCAAAACAAGAAGAGGAAAGAATCCCCCCCACCTCCCAAAAAAGAAACAAGGATAGGCTAAGGAGCCTGTGGGACAACTTCAAACATACCAACATTCAAACCATAGGGGTGCCAGAAGAAGAAGGAAAAGAGCAAGAGATTTAAAGCTTATTTGAAACAAAAATAATGAAAGAAAACTTCACTAATTTGGTGAAGGAAATAGACACAAGTCCAGGAGGCACAGAGAGTCCCAAACAAGATGGACACAAAGAGGACCACACCAAGGCACATCCTAATTAAAATGTTGAAGGTTAAGAATAAAGAATCTTAACAGCAGCAAGAGAAAAGCAGAGTTACTGGCAAAGGAGTTCCCATAAGACCATCAGCTGATTTCTCAACAAAAATTTTGCAGGCAAGAAGGGACTGACAAGAAGTATTCAAACCAATGAAAAGCAAAGACCTACAACCCAGATTACTCTATCCACCAAAGCTATCATTTAGAATTAATGACAAAGTGCTTCCCAGACAAGGAAAACCTAAAGGAGTTCATCATCACCGAGCCATTTTTATATGAAATGTTAAAGGGACTTATTTAAGAAAAAGATCAAAACTATGAACATTAAAATGACAATAAATTCACAACTATCAACAATTGAATCTAAAAAAACTAAGCAAACAAGCAAAAATGAAACAAACAAATATGGAAATCATTTGGAGGATTATCAGTGGGGAAGGGGAAGAGGAAGATGGAGGGAAAGATGCAGGGAGTAAGAAGAACCAATTGGTAGGTACAGAATATACAATGATGTTAAGAACAGTACGGGAAATGGAGTAGCTAAAGAATTCATACGCAGCCTTGGCTGGTGTGGCTCAGTGGATTGAGTGCTGGCCTGCAAACCAAAGGGTTGTGGGTTCTATTCCCAGTCGAGGCACATGCCTGGGTTTTGGGCCAGGTGCCCAGTATGGAGCACACAAGAGGCAACCACACATTGATGTTTCTCTCTCTCTCTTTCTCCTTCCCTTCTCTCTACAAATAAATAAAATATTAAAAAAAAATATGCATTACCCATGGACATGAACTAAGCAGGGAGAGGGAAGCCAAAGGGAATGTGTGGTACTGAGTGGAGGGTGTCAAATGGGAAAAAGAGTTGGACAATGGTTATCTAATAATCAAAAAATCTATTTAAAGCAAAAAGACAACAAAAAATCTAACTTTACACTTAAGCAATCTTGAAAAAGAACAATAAACCCTAAAGTGAGCAGAAAGAAGGAAATAATAAAGATTGGAGCAGAAATAAATGACATACAGTCTTAAACAATACAGGAGATCAATGAATCCAAGAGATGGGTCTGCCCTGGCTGGTGTGGCTCAGTGGATTGAGCACTGGCCTATAAACCAAAGGGTCGCTGGTTTGATTCCCAGTAAAGGCCATATATGTCTGAGTTGCAGGCCAGGTCCCCAGTAGGGGGTTCATGAGAGGCAGCCACACATTGATGTTTCTGTCTCTTTCTCCCTCCTTTCCCCTTTCTCTGAAAATAAATGAATAAAATCTATTTTTTAAAGAGCTGGTTCTTTAAAAACAAGACTGGCAAGCCTTTAACCAGTCTTATCAAGAAAAAAAAAAAGAGAACCCAAATAAAATCAGAAATGAAAGGAGAAATAATAACTGACATCAAAAAAATACAAAGATTGTAGGAAAATATTATGAACAACTATATGCCAACAAATTGGACAACCTGGACAGAATGAGTAAAATTCTAGAAATTCTATACAGTTTTCCAAAACTAAATCAGGAAGTATCAGAGAATCTGAATAGACAGATTATACCTACCAAAATTGAAGCAGTAATCAGAAAACCCAACAAACAAAAGCCCTGGACCGGTTGGCTTCACAGGTGAATTTTTCCAAACATTCTGAGAAGACCTAACACCTCAAACTATTTCAAAAAATTCAAGAGAAGGGGAAGCTCTCAAGCTCATTTTACAAGGACACAATTATCCTAATTCCAAAAATAAATGAAGACACTACCGAAAAAAGAAAGTACAGGCCAATATGCCTGATGAACATTGACACTAAAATCCTCAACAAATATTAAAATTGGCCCTGGCTGGTGTTGCTCAGTGGAGTGCCAGCCTCTGAACCAAAGGATGCCAGTTCAATTCCCAGTCAGGGCACAAGCCTGGGTTGTGGTCCAGGTGCCCATTAGGGGTCCCTGAAAGGCAATCACACATTGATGTTTCTCTCCTCTTTCTTCCTTCCCTTCTCTCTAAAAAACCTAATTAATTAAATATTTTAAAAATATTTAAATTGAATACAGCAATCCATCAAAGAGATCATATACCATGATCAAATGAGATTCATGACAAAATGAAGGATAAAAACCACATGATCATAACAGTAGATGTAGAAAATTTGATAAAATCCAGCACCCATTTATGATAAAAACTCTCAGCAAAATGGAAATAGAAGGAATGTTTGAAAGTAAGATGCAGACATCATAAAACTTCACCCCTAAAATGTGAGAATGGGTCTCCTAAGAATAAGTTCATTCTTCAAAGTAACATCATACCCTTATCACATCTAAGAAAATTAACAACAGTTCTGTAATAAAGTATATTATATTAAAATTGAGACTTCCCAATTGTCTTTAAAATGACTTATAACTGGGTTATTTTCCAGTCAGGATCCTGTCAAAACTCATGTTTTGAGTTTAGTTTTTGAGCATTTATTTTGGATGTCACAAGTAACTTAATAAAAGATCAATTTTTAAAAGACTTGCCTTCAACTTAATTTTGAAGTCTTAAATAATTCTCATGAAAGTCTTTAGTCAAATATCCATTGCACAAATTGCTTAATTTCACTGGCTTTTCAACTATTGAGAGTAAATATATTTTATGTTAACAACATAAAATCAATGCAAATAAATAAGTCAATGTGTAGGAGCCTTTGAAATGGATTCTATGTACCATTTCATTTTCTGAGATTAGTATTATTAATATAATACTTCATTTAAAAAGCTAGATACTAGTTGATGTTAAGAAATTCTTGTTAATTTTGTTAGGTGTGATAGCAATAATGTGATTGGGTTTTTAATTTAACATGAGGTGACATATATAAAACTGCTTAAATAATCTAGGCAGGGGGCGGGGGGGAATTTGTGGTGATATTGATAAAACCAGATTGGTAAAATGTTAATTTTTAAAGGTGAGAATCAGGAGCATGTATTTCTTTCACAATTTTCTCTACTTGTGTGTATATTTAAGTTTTCTATAAAGAGTTTAAAGATACAAAGATAATTGAATTAACAAAATTACTTAAGACTAAAAGATAGTCTTTTAGGTAATTCATGAATTAAAAGTAAAAATCTAAACCTATAACCTACTTAGAAAGTAGCGATAACCATAACACTAAATATGAAAACATTTAAAAAGTGCTTAATTTCAAATGCTTTGATGATGATGATGATTCAAGAAAGAATGACAGTTAATGAACTAAATATTAGTGCCAAAAACCAGAAAAGCAACATAAGCATAAGGAAAGTACAAAGAATTAAAGGAACAAATTAATAATTCAAGTAAAATCAAATTAATAAATCAATTTAAGAGCTAGATATTTGAAAAATGTAGATCATAGATATAATTAAATAGAAGAAATCTACAAATAAGAATTCATCTTAGACAAGAATAGATTTTTTTTAAGATTTTATTTATTTATTTCTTAGGGAAGGGAGGGAGAAAGAGAGAGAGAAACATCAATGTGCAGTTGCTGGGGGTCATGGCCTGCAACCCAGGCATGTACCCTGACTGGGAATCAAACCTGTGACACTTTGGTTTGCAGCCCACGCTCAGTCCACTGAGCTACGCCAGCCAGGGCCAAGAATAGATTTTTTTAATACAAGAGAATTATTAATATGTGAGTAAATGGGAATTGTGATGAAATTATTTATAGAAAAATCTCTAGAAGAGTTTTGTTTACATTAGAAAACTAAATCTAATACCCCTGTGAAAAGTTTAGAAAACTGGTAGGGAACTGCTTTTTAAAATGGCCCCTGAGTATTTATCAAATATCGAAATGTGTGAGAAGTGTTTGTTTGTTTTTTTTGTTGTGTATGACTCATGCTCATGTCTCTTGGAGAACAGATGTAGTGGAACTAGTGTATCAACATATGTTTCAGAATATGTCACACACAAGCAAAAACAATCATCTCAGTGTAGGCTAATTTTTGCAATGGAATCATAATTTAAATAATAATAAAATATTAGTTTGGTAAATTGCAGCTAGATAAATAAAAACATATAAGAATAGTTAATTCCATGGGAGAAAACTATGATATATGAACATGAACATGATTTTTATTTTTAAAAATGTTACTGAACAGTCCTAGTTTTTGAAATATGTGGTCATTTATGGAAACAATGTACATGAAGATGTAATAATAAACATCTCTGGGTAGTAGAGATACAGAGTCCTTTAAATTCAGGACAGAAGGTATTTATTTAGCTTTTAAATTTTCTATGTACAAAGACGTGTATTTGTAATAAAAATATAAAGGAATAGTAAAAGCAGGATGTATGAGAGCAATACTGGAAAATAGTGACTATACATATGTAATTGTAAATCTACATTTTTAACTAAGAATTATCATGTAATTATGGACAAAGCTCACAAATGGAAGCTGAATCTGAATCAAAAGGATATTAAAGTGGCTAATATCCACCATCTCTGCCAGTTGAATCAACCTATGTATTCTCAGATTGTTCCGTAGTATATGTATCATGTGGTGGCAGCGAAGTAGAATTATCATACTTACATGTTGCCTTGCCATGAAAAGTCCTTAAATATTTTTAATTGAGATTGATAGACTCATTCCTGGAAAAACATGTAATGTTAAAAGGAAATTAATCATTAGTGGAGTATTTTCTTGAAAGTTTATAATTGACACTTAAATTCTCTGCAACTGCTTATCGGAAAAATTTAATGTTTTCCAGTTCCTAAGAGCAGAAATGTGCCAAGACTACCATTTGGCTAAAAAATTATGTCAGATGAGTAAGTACAAAATACTTTGTTTTCCAATCTTCTCTTTGTTTCTAAATACATTCCATAGTATATAAGATAGTTTGGTGTTCATAAGCCAAGTGAATTTCTCTAATAGTGATCTCTTGACAGTAAATTAGACTGATTGGTATAAGAACAAATTTAGACTTCTAGACTAACTTTGAGTGAGATCAAGTGAAAGAAACTAGTTAATTACCACTACTTACCATGAAAGTAAGTCAGAATCCTTACCTTTATGATAAGGATCTGTGCCTTTAGTTTCAAAGAAGTGTCAGGTAGTGCAACAACCCTTACTTAACATGCAATTGTTCCAAAGTATTTGAGTGCATACATGTGTTGGGCACTGTTCTAGACACTGGAAATACAGCAGCCAACAAGACAGATAATGATCCCACCTACAGATGATAAACTCATATATAGAGAGATAGGTGTTATCTAGGAAAATAAAGTAGGGAAGAAGGAATAGGAAGAACCTGGAGGAGGCAAAGCACTTCAGATAAGATGGTCTCAGAAGGCCTCATGAAAAGACTTGAGCAAAGACCTGAGGTTGAAGAACTAGTCAGTGGGTATCTGGAAGAAGTGAATTCCAGGAAGGTCTAAGAGGAAATGTGCTGAGATGAGAGTGTCTGGTGAACAAGGACAGTGTGATTGGAGCAGAATAAGCAGTGGGAAGTGTGATGGGAGGTGAGGTCACGGAGGTTTGGGTTGGGGGTTGTGCAGATTGCATTGCACCTTTCCACAGTTTAAGGGTCTTCAGTTTTTCTAAGTGGGAAACTGTTGTATGCATTTGAGTAGAAGAATATACTTCTCCTTTTTTTCTTTCTATCTTTGATTTATAGTGGTTTGACCTGATGTTCAACATAGTTGCAGTTTTTTTTTCTTTACACAAAGGGAGATTTGAGAGGTTTGCAGGGTTTCCTAATTCTGTGGGTTGTTGTTTTCAACAGCTTAAAACAATTCTTGGCCATTACCTTTTCAAATGTCATTTATGCCCCATTCTCTTTCTCTCTTTTCTTCCTGGATCTTCGGTTACACATAAACTAGACATTTTTTCATGGTGTCCCATGTATATCTGATAGTCAGTATTGGGTTTTGTTTTTCCTTTTTTTTTTATTTCTCTGCTTCAGTTGGGATATTTTCTATTTGTCTGTACTTCAGTTGACTTATATTATTTTCTGCTGTGTCCCATCTGCTGTTAAAACTATCCGGTGAGTTTTTTTATTGATATCCAGTGAATTCTTAATTTCAAAGATTGTATTTTCCAGTTTTAGAAAGTCCATTAAACAACTTTGAAAGATTCCTGCTCCTTGTTTAAGTCCACAATGTTTTCAACGATTTTACCCACCTTTTTCTCTAATACATTTGTCATAGTAATTTTCAAAATGAAATGGCAACTCTCCAATAAACTTTATTGATAATAGGACTCAAAGTATCAACTGGTGTTAGACTTCAGTCTCATGGTAAAAGTCCATGAAGTGAATATGTAGTATAGGAATTGTGAGCATCTACTCTCATTTGCCTCACAGAGTCCCTACTATGGATACAGTACTTCTGGACTCATTGGAGATTTTTTTTTATTCTCACCCAAGGAAATGTGTATTGATTTTTAGAGAGAGAAGGAGGAGAGAGAAACATCAGTTGGTTGCCTCTCCTACATGCCCCAACCAGGGATCGATGCTGCAACCTACGTATGTGTCCTGGCCACAGTTCAAACCTAAAACCATTTGGTGTACGGAATGATGCTCCAACCAGCTGAGCCACCCAGCCAGGGCTCATTGGCCAATTTTTAAAATGGGTTTCTTGAATGCTTTAACACTACCTATTTTATATCCAAAATAATAAGCCATATTTCGCACTTTGGACAAGCCATTGAATAAAATATTTTGATCAAAACTATTTTTGGTGGCTCATACATAGAATTTCTGATCAGAAGGAATCCTTAGAAAGAATCATGTCCAATCCTCTATTTTTACAAATAATGAAACTGAAGCAGGAGAGGTTAAGCTGCCTCATCAGCCCCACTCGGAGTGGGTGGCACGGCCTGGAACCCAAGCCCCTTCCTCCCATGGCACCTCTCTTCTCTGTGGGGCTAAGGCAGGAGTGACTGTAGCTCTAGCTCCCAGTTCTCTGAGTTTCCTGTGGAGTCTAATTATGGGAAAATTTATATATCATGTTTCAGTATTCATCAGTCAGTTTTAGAAGGCCTCTGGCTGAGGCTTACAAGATATGTGCACTGATAATCCCGTCTCTCGGTCAGTTTTGGCTGTTAGCCCGGCAGTGTGCTGCATAAACAGCAGGTGCTTAATAAAATGCTTATTGACCCGACTGCAGCCAGTGAATACACATTAAGTGCCAGGTAAATGGGGATGAAAAGTCAGAATGATCTATCTTAATGGGGTCATACCCCTTTAAAAAGGCACTCACTCCCATCGTTCCTTCCTTCCAACAAGTACATGTTGACCACCATATCTGTACCAGACAGTGTTCTGGGAGTTACAAAGAAAGCAGAAATTAGAGCCCACATACTCGAAACCCTTTGGGATTGACATAGACATGATTTGGTTTGGTTTTCACCTTTACTGGCTCATCTAGTACGACTGCACACTCTTTCTGTGTCAAATGTGGGCCTCTAAAACTAAGGACTAGGCTTTCGGAAAAGGAGTTACACAGGGCCCTAAGATAGGCCCCATGACCCAGGAAGCAAATTGGGAAAGAATACTGCTCCCAAGAGAAAGAAGAGGCTCATGGGAAACATGGGGAAAGAGGCCCCAGAGGTGGGGGTTTGGGGCAGGGAGTAGCTATTGATATGAAGGTAGGGAGACCCAGGTTTAGCACTGCCAAGCAAGCTCAAGGAAGATGGGAGAGCTGAAGGCAGACTCTGCCTCGGGGGGAAGGAAGTCCTAGTGTGCTGTGGTGCCAAAGGAACCTTGGCCGAGGGCTGCCACAGCCCCTCTCTGTGTTCACAGTAACGGACAAACGAAATTTTTCACGTGGTGTGGACCCCAAAATATATATATACATTCTTACAGTGTAGATAGTCTTTTGTCTCTTTTTTCCTGCTCCTAGCTCTTTTCTAGACATCCCCCCTTTCTCTCTATAGATATTTATATATTTGTGTATGTTAACATACATTATGTATTTATATATTTATGCATGTATGGATTGAGCACCCACTAGGGAAGCATTCATATTACATTGTTTAATTCTTCAGATAATTCTGTGAGGCTGATATTATTAAACCTTCTTTACAGATGAGGAAACTGAGGCTAGCAAAGAGAACTAGTTCACACAAAGTCACACAGCTGCTGAGTGGTAAAGTTTGGATGAGATCCCAGGTCTGGCTTGAAAGCCTGTGATTTACTACTATATTTCCACTTTCTCATTTTATTAATAAGCTTCTATTTCTGGTCAAATAGGCAAAGACTTGGAAAAGAGACACTGTTATGGACCAATCAGGTTTGAAATGGCTCCTATGGTTGACTAATATATTTATTTTATTAGTAAATGTATTTATTGTGTGAAATAATTTATATGAAATAATGCAGCTTATCCCTTCAGAAATGCTTTACAGATTTATTTTCTTGAACAAAGCCTTGGGGTCCTAGTGCGTTTTCTTCTTGTCTGATTACAGCACAATCATTTACATCTTGTTTGGCTGAAGAGCTTCCCATCTGGCGTCCCACATACCCATGGGTTCTTGTCTCTGTCCTGCCTTTTAAAAATTTGTATTGGGTTCCCTGCAAGAAATTTTACCTGTTGGCGAAGGCTTGAATCTTATCTGTCTTCCACGCTCAGTTTTTATGTGGTCCCCTAATATTTCCACACCCATTTTTCTGCTGTCTCATGCAGAACTGGCATCTCTGCTCCTGCCATTTCCTACCAGGCACTGGCAGCAGCCTGGAAACGTGGTTTTTAAACGGAGCTGAAAGTCTAGAGTCCCAAGTGCTTATCTTAGTTCATCTCATGAATGACTGTGAGATTTTGTGCCAATCTCCCTATTTCTTGGTCTTTTCATCTGTAAGAAGGAATCCGCAACTCAGTCTTCTCAGGTACCACATTTCTGCTCACAGGCAGCCCTGGATTCTGTCAGCCTGGAGCACCTATTTCATCTACTGTAATACCTGTAAACGTTTAAGAAAAATGGCCTGAAAGCCAAAATGGCTCTCATCATTATAAGTCTAACACAAATACAGATGTATCTTCAGAAAACATAGTTCCTATAACTTTTTTTCTCTTTTTGAGTAAAATCATTCTGTCCCACTAGCCTAGATATAATTTTATCTAGGCAAAAAAAGGACTGCTTTCTATTCAGTTATCTATATTCATTTATTTCACTTATTAGTGTTTTGAGGGTTACAGCTCTGTTCTGGGCACCCCAGGGATGTAAACGGTGAGCAAGACCAACATTCGCTCTGCCCTAGAATAGCCTGCAGCCTGGGGGACTTAGGTCCCCACGAGCAGCAGAACCCTGGCTCCCTGCCCCAGCTTCAGCCAGGAGAAAGTATCCATTGAATTCTTAGGAAGGAAACAAGCCTTTTCTAGGCCCAGACCGTTCCAGGAAAACTAATAATCAACATTTTATTCAACACTTATCATGCACTTTATCTTATGAATACTTGATCTGCATTATCTCATTGATTCATTAAAGTAGCCCAAGGTGGCCAATGGTATTATTACAGGTAAAAGAACTGAAATGCAAAATTTTAAATACTTTTTAAAGGTAACACTGCTAGACAGTGGCAGAACCTGGATTCACATCTGACAGTCTTTCTTCAAGGCCCACACTGGGCTCTGCATATTTGCCCAGGTTAGGAAACAGCCCCCAGAATACCATCTGCATGTACTAGAAGTTTCTCATACTTTTTTCCAAACTCTGCTAACCTGTCCAAGAGTAAGAAGAATGTTTGATGCATCACCTGGAATGGATACTGCTGAGCTAAGCTTCAATGCAGACACCTTTCTCTCACTCTGAAAATTAACAACTGCCAGCGGTTTTTGTTGAACCATGAGAGTAGCTGATGTCATACTCTAATCCCATGGAATAATCCTAATTGCAATGAGAAATTTTCTAAAGTGTGTTACTAGGAAATTAATAACACTTTTTAATAAATGTCCTACCAAAAAGGATCCCATGGGAATAATAAATTGGGGAAACCACATTCTCCTAAGATTCATAGTAGTTATGAGCATGTTTATATTTTCTATAAAATTCTTCAACTGCCTCTTACTGTAAACATTCCCTGGTTAACTTTATTTAACCTAGTTTTCCAAGTATGTGTTCACATCTTAAGAAACTAGTCTCTCAAGGAGTGGGTTGGAGAACCCCCACTCTAGAAAGAGGCTTAGCCTCAGAGAAAGATTTAGTCCAAGTTAAAATGTATAAAAAGTTACTTTTATTAGAAACATTGAAAGATGTATAAATACCTATAGGATCCTCAGAAGCAGCTCTGAGCAGGTACACAGCCATGCTAACACAGATTGCTGGTAGCTTATTACAGTAGTGGGTTAGGAAATAAAGACACTGATTTGGTGTGTCAGGACGAATGCCATATGGGGTGGTTATCTGGGGCCGGGGGCTTGGCTGAACCATCCACAGTTCTCTCTTTACTATTAGCCAGGCCGATAGCACACTTGATGTTTCAGTGCCCCCTTGGTGCCATCAAGATATTGCACAGGAGCCACAACTTAATAGATGATGCAGAATTATGAATACTCCTCAAGGTAGGCAGGAAGACGGTAGAGAGAGATCTGAAAAATAAAATAGTCCAGAAAACTCACAAACAAAAGGCGTAAATCGTCCTGCTCTCTAGAACATTGGTAACATACGAGTAAGCCTTAAAAAATCTATTGGTATAGTCCGAAGGAGAGATGACACATTCGCATACACGTTCACATAAAGGATCAACAAAAAGGAATAAACAGTGCTGAAAACAATGGGTCTGATGAACAGGGGAGGCAATGACTGGGATGCAAACTAGGGTAAAAGTTGTAAGGATGAAGAAAAAGAAGAAACATCAGTTTTCCTATTTGAAAGATGGGTTTTTAGAAATGACATCTCTACCCTGGAAGACCTTGCACTAAAAACAAAAACAAAAAAAATGAAACAAAACAAAAAAACCAACTCTGTTCCTTTGTGTTCAGGGTGTTCCGACGAGGCCTTTAGTAAAGGATGTTGTGCAGACTTTGGGAGGCTGAGAGGAATAAGGGATTAACAGACTCTAGGCACACATTCCTAGTAGTGAAGTGTCCATATTTTGCAGTATGTGTGCCTTGTTTGCAGAATTAGTTACGAAACACCTTGGTTTCAGGCCTATGAGGGAAGCCTCGTAGTGACTCTTTGGGCAGGAGGTAGAAAATAGAATGAGATTTCTCTTACAAATCACCTAAGGTAAGTAGAGCACTTTCTCTTTGCACTTAAATATACCCATGGTATAATTGTTGATGTTTATTGCTTTGTGCATTTTCACTTACTCTGATTGGCAGTTTCATCCTCATTCTGAGGAGCCTGTTTGCTGAAACACTTTGTTAATAACACACCTTCTGTTGTCCATTTTCAGTCCTAATTTATGAACCAGAAAACCCTGAGGCCAAGGAGTTTTTGTCACTTATTGAAGAAATGTTGCTGATGGGTAAATTTAAAAATTGAAATTCCTTCTTTCTCATAGAACTATGAGCAGTCACTATTTAAAAACCCATTATCCCAGGAGATTGGCCAAGTACATCCTCAGGAAATGGTTAAGAGAAGTCTAAATGGTTATCTTGGATGGTTTAATGAAACCAGCTTGGCCTTCGTGGGTGGTCAGGATGACTTCCTGACCTCTGTGGGGTGGAACTCCCAGACAAAGCAGGCTCCCTGGATGTAGGCATCTAGTACCATAGTCTTCAGAGGGAACAGAACATGCTAATTGCCCCCTGTGTTAAGGGACTATCCCACAATTCCAGGGAAAGCCAGTACCCTCTAAATTATCCTATTCTATTAAGAATTTACTTATTCTCTTTAAGAATTACATTCACAATAATAAAAATATTTTCATAGACCTAGTTTTAAGTTTACTTTAAATCTCAAACATCTTTGTGCCAGTAAGATGTTTTTATTTGTGCTGCTAATTTGACCCTATATACAGTTAACAAAATTCAGCTCAGTTCTCATGTTCCAAAAATATGTATTTCTCAGTAGAGGGAAAAGCAAGGAGAATTACAACTTTTCAAAGAGTGGAAATATTAAGAAATGTATTAAGCAATTTTCTTTCTTTCTGTGGCAGAGAAATCTCCAAATCTTGAGGAAGATGATAAAGATAGTGAAGAAGACAGTAGCGGTGAGAGTGAAGGAGAAAGCAGTGAGGAGCTAAGTGAAGGAAGCTCGGACGAATGTGAAGACGGGTGATGAAAGATGCTACTGTGGTCTCATCTTCACATATTTCTATTACTGTGTAACTTGGAAATATAAAGAACAGAGCTGCATTTCAGTCTAATTCTTCTTCATTTGGTCTAGAGTTGTTTTAATTTATCCATATTAGTTTGAACGCCTTCCTAATATTTAGGTCTTAGCTCAACGTGAGTTTCTCAGAGAGGAAAACAGTATTTGAAAACCCGTAGCCAACTCAATGGGTTGGGTGTCTTCCTGCAAACCAAAAGGTCACCAGTTCAATCCCTAGTCAGTACACATGCCTAGGCTGAGGGTCAAGTCCCTGGTTGGGGGCTTGCAATTGATCACATATCAATGTTTCTCTTCCTTTCTTTCTCCCTCCTTTCCCCTCTCTCTGAAAATAAATATCACATCATATGCCTGTTGAGTGGTAGATCCTGGGTTTGTACATGGACATGGTAGCTCCAGATCCATCCTCTTAGTCCTTCCAGGTGCTTTTTATCAGTATGTTCTTCATAGCATATATCACTCCCTAACGTTCTTACTGAACTACTTGTACTTTTTTTTTTTAAGATTTTTTTTTTTGGTGGTGGAGAGGAGAAAGAGAGGGAGAGAAACATCAGTGTTTGGTTGCCTTTCATGTGCCCCCTGCTGGGGACCTGGCCCGCAACCCAAGCATGTGCCCTGACTGGAAGTTGAACCAGTGACCCTTTAGTTCACAGGCCTGCGCTCAACCAGTGAGCCACACCAGCAGGGCTAACTAGTTGTACTTTCTATCTTCTCCCTTCTTGTCAGAAAGTGTAACCTCCCAAAGCAGGACTTTGTCTTTTTCACCATTTCCCCAGCAGCTGCACAAGTGCCTGGCAAATAATGGGATGTATATACCAAGTGAATGAATGGAGTGAAATTAACAAACTGTCTACCTTCTTTCATGAAACATTTACACGACTTCATTACACCTTTGATGTCTCAATCTGCATTATTTTGCTGATTCTGTATTCCTTGATGAATTTCTGCCATCTTCAAAATAGGTTGTAAGGTAACTGAGGTAAAAGTAAGAAAAATATCCCCAAGTAGTTTGTTTTTCAAGGTGCCAATCTGATTTGTATGTAGGTATTTTGAATTTTTATTTTTATATTAGCACACCATTATGTTATATCTAAAATGTTTGCAGCATAGTTTAGTCTTTGGGAATCTTGTACCCTGCTAACATTTAGAGGAAGAAATTCTGCACCATTTTGTAGGAGTGACTGAAAGAGATGAAGGCAGGTGTGTGTAATCCTCTAGTTACATTAAGTAGTCAGATAGCATCAGAGGGCCGGCTGACATAGACCTCACGGATGGTCATTCTATTTGTGGGGGGCTCGTTATTCCTTCCCACCATAGCAAAACCACCATGTATCAATCTGGTGATGCTTACCTGATTATGGAGCTCCCCCTCCCCCACAAAGAAGTTCACAAAATACCCAGCAACTAATATTGCAGACTAAATCAGTTACACTAATGAGATTTTAGTTTTCCTTTAAAGGAACAGGAAAGTTCTGAGGAAGAAAGTCTGAATAAAAAGTCAAAATATCACAGGCTGTGTTATAGCTAAATCTAAGAGTTTATAAGGTTTATTCATACAGGATAATCATACCCCTCTCTTCCCATTATTCATCCTACTTACTGTCTTTGATCAATGTAACTTAGGGTGTTGGCATAACCTAACAGGCATGTGTGTCTGTATGTAGTAATAATAGCTAAAAAAAATCTACAAAGTATTATTTCATTATTTAACCTGCTGGCTTCTCACAATTGTTCTAAGAGCATGCTATTATTACCCCTGTAAGTTACACAAATCAAATTTGGGGTGCTGGGGGATAGCCAAGGGTAAATGTTAACTGGGGTATTAGAACTCCAGGGAAGAAGTTAAGACTAAGAGATGCTAGGTTATGTCTCAGTGTGAGAGAGCTCGTGAATCTTGAACCCCGCATCCCAGGCTGCTTCACACACAGCTGAACTCCAGAAACTGTTAATGTTCCAGACCTGTGCCTTGTTGGAAATTTTATAACATGTTACCCTGTATGAAAGAACCAAATATCCAACAACATGGGAATGTGTGAGAATGTCCACTTGATGGACTTAAGATGGGAACCCACTAAAATAGTTTTATTTATTCAATAAATATTTACTGAAGGCCTAAAGGTATACCATGGAGAACAAAACCCATAAATAGCATTTATTTTTTAAAGTTAATTTTATTGCAGTTCAAGTACAGTTTTCTGCCCTTTTCCCCCCACCTCCCCCACCCCACCCCAGCCCATAAATAGCATTTAAATAGTGCTCTTAAATAGCATTGTTGTGGTTGAAATACAGGGTGATAAACATTGTCATTGAGGATGTGCAATGTGCCAGGCGAGCACATGGCAGACGGGGTGGCACCTGACCCAGGCCAGGCACCCAGGGAAAGTATTCAGAAGGAAATGAAGTCTCAGCTGAGAAGGTGGAACAAGCAGGAATTAGCCACAAGATGATGTGAGCAGTGTCCTAACACTAGACACATTCTGAGTCCAGAGAGTACACAGGTAAGATTGGATTGCAAAATGAAAATGAACCAGTTAGAGTAGACACAGATGCAGCTACAGTGATAAAACAGCAGGATAATTTGAGGATCATATAAGTGGGAGGCCATTGATGGGTTTTAAAGAAAATAATGATTGTATTTTAGAAAGAAAATTCTAGTAGCCAGGTGGAAAAATGTTTTCTCAAGCTACAGGTCATGATCCATTAGTTATGAAATCACTATAGTGAGTCACAAGTAGCTGGGTTTTTAAAAAATTAAATTGTGCACAATAGGAAATAGCACACATTACAAAAGGGAATGAATTAGGGTTTTGTGAAACTTTTTGGTTTGAGAGTGTGTGTATGTGTGTGTCCTAGATCTTGATGTGAAATGTAGTTCTTCCTATGGACCTCAATTACAAATATTTATGTATATGTATGTATCCATACACATACATCTGAAAATGTAGAGAACAGACAGAATACAAAACTCCACTGGCACATAGTAATCCTAGCAGTTCACAATTGTAGCCTAGAAGGAGTCAGTCGCAAAGAGATGCAATGGGATGGAGTTATCCCAGAGGTAGAACTGGCAGGAATTCGTGAATTAAACACGAGGGAGAGGTAGAGAGCAAGGGTGACCCCCAGTTGGATAACTGGTTATATGGTGGTGCTGTCCCCCCAAAATAAGGAAAACAGAAAGATTTGCTGGAGATGTTGGCAGTTAACTTACATAAGTATGGGAAGTATATTAGTTTGCTATGACTGTTGTGGCAAATTACAACACACTTAGTGGCTTAAAATAGCACAAATTTATTATCTTCCAATTCTGGAGGTCAGAAATTAAAAATGGGTCCCCCTCAAGCCAAAATCAAGGGGTCAGCAAGGCTGCCTTCTTTCTGGAGGCTCTCGAAGAGAATCAGTTTCCTTGCCTCTTCTTGCTTCAAGAGCCTGCCTGCATTCCTTGGCTCATGGCCACATCCCTCCATCTTCAAAACCATCTATGTCAGACAGAGACATTCTCACACTGCAGTCTCTGCCATCTTTTCTCCCCTATCTTGTGATTTTTGTTAAATTATACTTAGTAAGTAGAACCCTGGGGTGTTGAGCCAGGGTTCAACAAAGATCCAAAGGGAAAGTGAAATGGGAAAGATTATTACACTTGACATGCGACTGGGGAGATCAAGGGGCAGGCAGAGAGTGAGTAGCAGGACCTGGGGTATATGTCTTTATTGGGGTCTTCAAGTGGGATGCTTTTGGGGTTCCCAGACTAAGGTCAGATTGGTCGATTCAAACCACAATGATCAGAGTTTCGGTAAGCCCAATGAGGGTATTATCCAAGGCAGTGCACAAGGGAAATTGTTGGGAGCAGGAGAGACTGTATCACCCGGGGCTTCGGAAAGTCGTATCAGAAACGTACTTGTGACTCTTATCCAGGCCATGCACTTGAGGGAGAGACTAGTGTCAGTTCAAAGCCCTGTAGGCTGCCCAGCCACACAAAATAGATGACAAGGCTGCAATATTAGTTCACCGATGCTCTCAACACTCCACCTCCCTCTTCCTCTTTAAAGACACCTGCAGTTTCTTTGGGCCCATGTGGAAAATACACTGACTAGCAACCTTAATTCCATCTGTAACCTTAACTGCCCTTTGCCTGTAACCTAACATGTTGATGGGATCTGGGGATTAGGACATAATCCTAATGTCTTAATTAGAACATAATTAGGGTAGGGGAGCATTATTCTGCCTACCACATGAAGTATTGGATAGAAGTTGTTTTGGAATTCCTAGTGTGGAGCTTAGGACAGATACTTTGGCTAGAGGTATATACCTTAATTAGGAGTCATCAGTGTAGGCTGAATGAGGTAATGCATAACAGATATCTCTTTGATTAGAGATAGTAATCAAAGATAGGCACTGGTGGCTCACAGAGACTGTAGTCTGAATATAAGAGGACTGAAAATAGAATTATCTTACATGATAACATTTAAGTGATGGTCCAAGAAGAAAAATTCACAAAGGAGCCTAAGAAGAACAGCCAGGGAAAATCGGGGAAAGCGAACTTCGTGGACACCATTGGTTGGTGCTCAGCATCCATCCCCGCTGCTTCTGTGCTGAGAGAGCCCTGATTTCGTCCAGATATTCACTCCACACACACAGAGCCACGGGACTCAGGAAAGACACTCTCAGCCAACCAGTGCATAGCGTTTCTCTGGTGACTGTTACTGTTCCAAAAGTGGACATGTAACTGACGTTGGCCCAACCAAATTAAGGACTTTATTTCATGACAGGGAGGAGGGGTTCCACCATTCCCCTGGTTAAGAGCCAGGAAGCATGCTGCCGTATTTACAGCTGGCAGCCGTTTTATGGTCATGAGAGGAACTGATCTTAGGACGAAGCTGATGCTGTGGAGAGTAAGGGAGCAAAAAGAACTCAGGTTGCTAGTGGTGTTCTGCCACGGACTCAACTGCTCTGCGAGCCAGCCCTCTGAGCTTTAATATCGTGAAATAACTTTATTATTGTCTAAACCAGTTTGGATTGAGGTTTCTTTTAACTGCTGCT